ATCGTCCTTTAGTAAAGTGTGATCATTTCAAAAGCCATCGTCAATAGTTCTTCAGCACTACTCTACCGATGAACTAAGCCTCTAAAGTACGATAAATCATATGAACACGAGCTACCGGTCGTACTGAGACTTAAAATATCATCATTAATTATTTATCCGTTGACGAGGGCAAATACATTTATAGTGCATAAAATTATTAGCCGTGACAGTTCATTTTCCGAGCGCTCGCTTTTAATACAATATGCTCGAGCAACCCGAGTTCGATCACCGGTGCTGGCACCAATGAAAATGTTAATTTTAAGTGCTGACTTATCACGTGCTCAGCGGTGAGGGAAAACATCGTGAGGAAATCGTGAGCCTGCATATTTTCGAAATATTACCAATAAAAAGTATTTCGATGATATATTAAATCCGCCAATCCGCAGGGCGGCCGCGTAGTGGACTATGCCCATACTTCTGTACAGAGTGTGAATAGTGACAGACATAAAATAAACACTAGAAATAAGGACAAACTTACTACGCCATTGTTTCGTCTACAAAAAGTAAATAAGTCGTTCATGGGGCAAAGTGTGCGCATGTATAATAAAATCCCACAGTCGATATTAAGTCTGCCGCTTGACCAATTTAAATGTAAAATTAAAAATCAACTGATGATTAAAGCATATTATACCATTTCGGAATATCTCGACGACGCCAATGTGTGGAGTTAATACTGTTGATACTCACGTAGGCTAGAATAAGACTATTATACCTGTATATTATATTGTACCCTGATATTTTTGAAAAAGAGCAACTGTTGAGTTTCTTGCCGGTCTCTTCTCAACAGAAACCGCTTTCCGAACCGGTGGTACCTTACGAACCTATACACATAATCTTTGATGTAAAATTTGACGAATCATAAGAGCGCGCAAGCGTCTATTTGAATAAATATATTTTTGATTTTGATTTTGATTTTGAGAGAAGGCCTTTGCCCAGCAGTGGGGGTATATAGGCTGTAAATTTACTTTTACCTTTTACAATTTAATAATAACAGGTAACGGCGTAGTCGTTTTAACCGTCTGCAATTAATCTTCGGTGACAAGTTGGCTGGGTTTATTTACGCGTCGCGCAATTACGTCCAGCTAGCGTATATTAATAAAGTCCCGAATTAATAGCGAGGCATTAAGCGGGTCGGATGTGACGGGTCCTTTTTTTAAATTAATAATAAATCGAGCCTTAAATATCACGTATACATTATGGATCGTCCGGACACAAATAATGCTTGTCATCGGGCAATGAACAAAACAATTATAAATAGCCACACTCAAAGTGCCAGATAGGCTCGTACACACCATCCGGGCCTTCCTGTCAAACCGCTCTTTTCGATATCGAGTTGAAGGCACCCTCTCCACAAGCCGCCGCCTCACGGCCGGCGTACCACAAGGCTCCTGCCTCTCACCTTTGCTCTTTACGCTCTACACGAGCGATATACCTAAAGACCCCCACGTCAATCTCGCGCTTTTCGCGGATGACACGGCGCTCTTTTATTCAGACCGCTTAGCTCTTTAACTTAGACAACTAACCACTCGACTCCAAAGCGCCGCCGACCGCCTCGGCGACTGGTTCCGCAAATGGAGAATAGAAATAAATCCCGAAAAGAGTGTGGCGATTCACTTCACACGAAGTACTTACCCGTCACATCTTTATAATGGCCCTCGTCAATGCAGAAAGTTGGGGCAAATATCCCTTTATGGCCAACCGCTCCCCTGGGAGAAAAAGGTCAAATACTTAGGAGTCACTTTCGACTCGCGTATGTCATTAAATACGCACATTAACAACGTTCGCAATAGAGCCGCGTTCGTCCCCGGCCGGCTACACAATTTAACTAACGCTAAAAGTAAAATGCCCTTAAGACACAAATTATTATTATATAAGACCTGCGTACGACCTATTATGTCCTACGCATGCATGACCTTTGCCCACACGCATCCTAATCGCTTGTACAAGTTGCAAATAATACAAAATAAGTTCATCCGCCGCGCAACCGGTGCGCAGTGGTATCAACGCAACCTCGACCTGCACAGCGATTGCAGACTCCCAACGATTCGCGAATATTTTAAAGACCTGACCAAACGGTTCTTCGATAGAGCCGAACATCATCCCAACCCTCTGGTGGTAAGCGCAGCAAATTACCACCCGACACAAACGCGAACGTCAACAAGCGTCGCCCGCGAAACGTCCTCATCGACCCGGTCGAGGAAGGGGACTTAGATACGCCGGACCCACCGCCGGGGGTCCCGCCGGATAACACTACACCCACAGTTAGTGCAACAACAAACATACTAGTTCGTCCTCGCCTCAGAGCACGGCGAGACCAACACAACGCGTACACAAGGTACACCCGCGTTCCGGGGCGGTTCTCACCGCTCCCAGCCACCGATTAGCTAATTGCACAGTCGACGGCCATCGGGGTTTCGGTCCGAACCGCGACCTCGATGGCCCTTAGATGACATACCACACTTAAACGTACGCATGAGCACATGCGTGGCCCTACCCACAGCGGAGGGCCCAAACCCGTGGGTTCTGGCTAGCCCACCGGTTCTGCGTCAGATGAAGCTTTAATAGTCTCGGGACTGAAAGCACAAACATCAGTTAATACAAGAATTATAAATAGAAAGTTGGAGCCACGTGTATGCAGGAATGTTAATGCAAAACATAATATTATCTTGCAAAACATAATCTTGGTTATAAAAAAAAATTGACTTGATGTTGCGGTCAAGTTACACAAAAATTGCTTGTTCATCTAAAAATATTTCTTATAATCTGTCGGGAACTATTTGATAGTTATGCAGTAAGAATAATGTCATGTTTTTTCTTGATAGAATTAGCTTGCCGCGAGCAAGCTAATTCTATCAAGAAAAAACATCAAAAGGGATAATTGAGAAAGAAATTTACTGTTATTAGAAGACATGCCAACTACTCCTCGTTACATCCAAATCCTTATAAGCTTTTGAGGTCTCTTCTATTCCGTAAATACGTCGTTTTGCTAAGAAACTTTAAATGAAAACTCAATGCATCTAAACATACAACCACAAGTCTCGCGGCGACATTCACAGTCATTATGCGTAAGAGTAAAATTTAAGGACCTTTTTGCCATGTTTGTTTTGATACTCAAATTGATTCTTTATTGCGTGCGATTAGGGTCGAATTTGCAGTTGCGGGCGAGCTCTCCTAATGAAGGACAAGCTCCCAGCGGCCCGCATCAACTAACGTTGCCCAAACACTTATAAAGATAAATTACCACTCCCATTTCGGTGTTGCGTTTTGTATTTGAAACGGGGTTAAAAGGGTTTTTAGTTGGGCAATAATTAATTGGGGTTGTTGTCCATTTGGAGAGTAACTATTACGGTGTTTTTGCATGATTACCCTAATGCAATGTCGGTGTTATGCGGTTGGGTAATAAGTGAAAGCACTTTCACGCATTACTCCCTAATTACGGGCACTGTTTACGTGTAGTCTAGTTTTAGCCTAAGATTACATCAGTCTTCAAAATTACATCATAATTCTATTTGAACTTTGAATTTCTCTTTAATCGGTTATCTGCCGGTTATCGGTTTGTGGTTAATTTGCATGTTCCTTATTAATTTATAGGCGCATTTCATCTGGACCGTATAGCCTAAGCGTTTCTCGTAAAGTAACGCAAACAAACCGCAATCAAAATTAAAGCCGTTGTCCACTCTGTGCTATCAAAACCCAAGCTGCGTATTCCTCAGTTTGTTTATTAAAATTATTTTTTTTGTCAAAATATGCAAAAAAAAAAAACTCATGTTTATGTATTATACACAAACTGCATTATACTTTTAAATAAAAATATTTTACGGATTACTTAATCTTCTGTTACCAAGTCCACCTACCTGTGGATACTGCCCTACATAACGTTTAATTTTCGAATAAGATAATTGAAGAACTATAAGCATTTTCATAGATACTAATTGGCAGTTCGTTAAAGTAATTAAATAACAACTTAAAACAAACAAACAGATTATATATATAGTATATAATCTGTATGTATTTTAGTATTCGTACAATTGAAGTATAAAAGACAGTTCAACTACGATTCTAACATTAGAAGATGTGAAAGCGATCGGCTGATGTTTGCTTTCCACTAAAGTAGCGGTAAACTATCGACGAATGTTTGGTCTATAGTTTCCGTGTAATGTAATCTCACGAACTGAACAGAAATCCGATAATCGAGACTGAATTCGCATTTAGATTAAATTTTATTTAGCTATTACACTTGCAATATGGCGAATTTCAGGGTTATAGGGTTTCAGGGTGTTTCAGTTATAGAGTTTTAAAAGAGTTTTGCCTTTGACAATTCTGGGTGATTTTATAGTTCCTTAATAGTCAGTTAGTCCCTTGCTAATGGTCGATTTTGCAGACTGTTTAGTCACTACGGAATTGAACCCTATTCCTAATCAATAATGGACAATTCTCTATGATAAATGTTAGCGTAATTTTGTTCAATAAGTAATGAGTGAACAGAAACAAGCGCTGCTTAACAAATAATGTTTCTACGTACATTCTATTGTAATCCGATTTTTCAAATTTAATTGCTAAGTCTGTTACTTTATATTTATTTCTCGTCACAGTAAGCTGCAGTTGTATAATTTTAAGAGGTTATTATTTAAAGTGATTTATTTTCACATGTTTAATGAGTCAAGTTTCTGTACTGATGGTTGATAACTATGCTCTGTGAACTAAATAAAACCATGTTTACGGGTTTATCACGTTTATTTTTAGTTTTAATGTCCGACTGTCCCGTGACCAAGAACGCTTGCTGCAAAGGGTTCGAAACGTCGCGAATTAAAACGAAGAACAAACGCGATAAATCTGAAAATAATATTTTCACTTAGTAATGTGTAATCGCTTCTTCACCATCCTCCTGCCCTTGGCCCACCTAGGTGGGGTCGGCACAAGATGTGAATCGCTTAAATACAAAAAAAATATTGCACTATAAAATGCCACTAATCGCGTTTAGTCGCGCCCCCTTCTGCCGCCGGCGGCAAAGCCTCGCTCTTCATATTGGATGCTGCTGTATTATTGGGCCGTTATCGGAAGTGGATGAATTACTTTATCCGCGGGGACCCTACGCCGCGATGGAATTTCGCACGCTCATGAGGCGCCTTTCTACGACGCCTTTATCCCCCCCCGCCCCCCCGTCCTACGATTCGCGGGCTAAGCAGAACAGATAAACAAGTCCCGTAAACGGATTTGCGATAGTGCCGCGTAACTTCGTGCGTAGTGTCGACATTTACGCGTTTGCAAGTGCGCCCTTGGAATTTTTTTTAAGTACGATGTACCTGTACGGGGACGCTTCAATTTTCCACTTATCTTCGACTGGTTTGCATTCATTAATAAATAATACTAATACGCTTTAAAGGAAACCTGTCTGACTTGAGTGACGCATAGTAAAACATTAGTAGCCGTGACCACGACTTCGTCCGCGTGGAATTTAAAATAAATAAATTTTCTCAACTAAAAGTAACCTTCGTCCGGGTAAGTACCACGACCTCACAGAAGACCGGTGTTAAGTGGAAGTAAGGTGTAACTTTCGCGTCTGGTGAGTGAGGTGGCCAGGGCCCAATTTTGTCCCAAGGTTGTTATCGCGTCTGGAACTCTCGGGCGTAGCAGATGTCCATGAGCTCCGGTATTCACTTAACATCAGGTGAACCGTCTGCTCGCTTGGCAACTTTTCACATAAAAAAAACCTTAGTTACTCGTTTATACATCCGCTATCGGCCAGTGAAAGTCCCATCAAAATCGGTCCGGCCGTTTCAGAGATCAACTAAGTGTCGCATTCACAAATGTCTAGGAGTGCATCGCAATTATATTTGATAGGGAGAAATATTCTCAAGTAACGTAGCGTGATTATTCGTGACAATATCACGCCGACTTAACACGAACAAGTCGACCGACATAATTCGAGTTTCCCGCCGTCTTGGAATTACCCCGGCCGGTGTCCCATTGTCGAAATCCGCAAACTCTTTAAACTAATGATTTCCCTTATGTATAAGTACGCATTGAACTGTATTCGTGGCACAGCAGTCTATTGTTGGTGTTGGCAATGGCACGGCAATTTGCACCCTGGGCGAAGGGTTTACGGGGGGACATCGTTTGTATCGCAACTCCTTAGTTGGAACGGACGGGCTAACGATAATTTGCCTCGCCATTAATACTATGGCCGGCATTGTAGGGAATTGTATGGGGAACGTTCCCCGCGCCAGTTCGCGGTCGCAGCTCTCGCCGGGGAGGCTGTTAATCAAGCCCGAAGTGGGACGGTGTTCAGTTCAATCCGGTGTACATCGAAAGTCTACTATCGGAATGTTTAAGCGATTACTAACAATACGATGCAATGTATAGAAATTTGTTGTACCACGCCAATTTCTCACTCGTTAGATTAATGTAAACGCGTGTAAATTCATTAAGCGCCTGTATCGTATTCTATCTGAGGTAGCGGAAAGATAAGAAAGTTTGATCGAACTCATAGAAGTCATGTATCTTTTGAATCGTAAATTCGTTTCTTTCACTACCGTCTTATAGATTTTTTTTATGTGAAAAGTTGGCAAGCGAGCCGGCGGTTCACCTGATATTGATGCTGCCAATGGACATCCTCTATTACTTCGCTTTTCATTTGGTGAGCGATTTAGTCGGGGGCCACATTTATTAAAAGGTGGCAACGCATCTGCAACGATTATCATTTAAAATCAGGTGAACCGCCAACTCACTTGCCATCTTCTCACATAAAAAAATACGAGCTAAATGCAGTGACTGAGTTCGCTAGCTAATACATCGGAACAGTGTAAACTTATAACACAGTTTTACCGTTATAGCAGAGGTTGGGCATTCAAGAAATTATACCAGAGAATTTCGCAGTTTTAGGATTAAATCAAACAGTAATTCTAATTCGATGTTATTATGAAATCGGGAAACAGGCTGTTTAAGTAAAAATTTCCCTTAAAATATCAGTTTCTTTAATAGTGAAGAATCAGCAAAGCCTAAGTTAAGGGTGCGTGCTGTCTACTGCGGCAACTACGCTGACGCAAGACGCTGTAGTGTGCCGCGCCTTAACCGCAGTCAGCGCTACTCCATAACTTTGGCGAGTCCTCGAGAGTACAATATTGCGGCGACGATTATTGCCTCGTGAATATCCCTATCTCGTGAATTAGAATCGAACCCCGCGCCGTAATTGCCGGGGAATTATCGAGACGTGTGGGGCTTGTTTTAATGCGATCTGTGTTCGTTCGCGACGATTCAGCGTCGGCGTTAACGCGAACGAGCATTAGAATGGCCAATGCATCGGGACTATAGCGGGAGTTTGGTGTGCATGTATCTACTCGTATGTATCCGGTATGAGATATCGACATCCTAAATCAAGCCGTTCTGCATTTGAGACATTAATGTAAAGCGAAAACTTTATTTATTTATTCTTTATGCACACACATAATATGTACAAAGGCGGACTTAATGCCATCAGCATCAACCTTGGGGTGGTCCAGAAAAGTATCGGTATGTGCATTAGTTACAAATTTAAAAAAAGCAATCGTAAGATTTTTAAAATATTTACATTACATTATTGCAGTACAAGCGCAGAGATATGTATGTAGGATTGTGACCGTGGGAATTAATGTACGAGACATCATTACTTTCCTACTTATTAGCAAACGCTGTTAAAATCGCTTTTTTGGCAGGATGTTGTTGGTCTTAGGGGCCTTTACAGATCAATCTCGCTTTTATAATGATAAAACCGTGCCTGTCACACGGTTTTATCGATGTACGGCCATACCCTATCGATATACAAAACACCGATATATCGATAAAACGCAGCGCATCGGCGATGCATCGAGTATTTGATGTTCCATCAGCCCAATCGTTCTAAAGTTTGACAGAGACCGGTGCCTATGATCTGTATAGAAAAAAACAGACATTCGCAATTTATTCATTTGGCGCGCAATTTGTTCATTTAAAAAAAATATCGCGCAACGTACGGCCACCGGTTTCGTTTGTTAATAAAATTAAATGTTTGCATTTCGCCGCGTGGCAAAAAGCGCCCGGCGGGTTTTTCGAAACCGTTATAACCGAACGGCCGTCGAAACGAATTCGGTTATTCAATTGTTTATAAAATTTCTATTGTGGATTTTTCAAATTTCGCGCGACGAATCCAATTTGTGAGTTGAATGTAAAATGAAATTATATAGATACTGCAGTGACGGGACGAAAAATTCAATTACTTTAGAAAAATCAACATTACGCGGCGGCGTTGTCAATGGGAAATGTCGAGTTGAGTGAATGGGGAGGTTTTTGCTCTTTGTCGCCGTGAACGCCGAGAAATGTCTGAGGGATATTTTGCATCATTTTCGTTTCCCGGAGTAGTTTTCAGAGCGGCATTTAGTGGCCTTTGAATTAAATAGTTATATATAGAATTGTTATATTCGGCGTTTGTGTCGAACTGAAACGAAACTTTCATAATATATATATTTAGGTCTAGTACTTTTGAAGATTATGTTTATTTATGTCACAGTTAACTAAATATGACTTCGGATTTGACATACCTTTATGTGATTAGTGTTTCATAATGAAAAATGATAACGTCTAGAAAAGTAAAAGATAATAAAAAATAAAAACGTGTTTCGAATAGGAAACCGATATTTGAGTTTTGCTTAAAAATATACATACTTAGATTTATGTTTCAGCAAAAGGCCAGACTGAGTGCACATTGTTTCATTAGTAGTGAGTATTTTAATAAGGAAACATAAGGAAGATATCGCGAAGTTATATCGTGACTTGGTTTTATAACCCACTTCTAAAAGTGATATTTATTAGTTACTCATGAATCGTAAAAAATATTTATATTTCGCAATTGGATTCTGTTTTTTATTATGCACAAAATAAACTTGTACTGGGACACGACAATAGGTTATGAGTGAAAATTATAATCTGGCAATTCGGCAACACCGCGCCCAAATCGCTTTGCCCCGGGAGCGATAACGCATCGTAATGCTAATTAATCCGCCAAAAATCTGCGATTCAAATCGCTGGGCCGGAGGGATTAGTTATGGTTTGGTCCGGCGTGTTTGCGATTCGCTGATGCTATCTTAATGGGGCGAAGCGAAAGATTTGTGGGCTCATATCGGGGAAGGGACGGCGTAGCCTAGGAGCTCGGCTTGAAAAAGGCCTGGAGATTTTCCCTTCGAATTTTTTATGTGAAAACTTGTCAACCGAGCTGAAAACTGCCGCCAATGGACATCTACAAGACCTGCGAGCTTGTATTTGCGTTGACAACCTTTAAAAAGTGGGCCCCGGATACCTTACTTGAAAACGAGACGCGAAAGTATTGTACTTCCACTGCACGCTGCGAGCTAGTACCTCCTCGGACGAGCCTGTACCACAGCAGAAGTTGTTGCGTGGCCGTACTACAGTAATGATATATGGAAATGATTGTCTCTTTGTCCAGAATGCGTTCAGAAGCCATTGCGCCGAATGCGTTGAAATTTTGCGTGCAAACCACGCCGCGATGGTTTCGGTGTTGATACAGAGCACTTGTAACTTGTTTCAGGAACAGCATCGATTTATTGTTATCGACATGCTGTTTTTAATTGATCACTGCAAAATATGACCAAAAGCAACTCACGAGCATAAAAAAATACAAGTTAAGCAGGTACTACGATATCGTGTATTAAAACCATGTTAGAAGATTGTACCAGGCGTGGACGATTAAAATATCTTTGATTATTCCATTTATTCCGTGTTCCATACATACGGACGTTACGAAACGCATTTACATATGTATATTCATGATCGGTCGAACGTTCTGCCGTGCATAGGGGACTGCATCGATTGGAATTCCTAAAACGATAGCGTTTAATACATTCAGATTCATATTTGATAACGTGTTTAATCGTGTGAACGCACCGTACAGCCGAAACACGTGTAGCGACCTGGTTGGGGGCGATTTATCGACGCCCAAGTAGAATCACCGCCAGATTTCCCGAACGCACACCGTGCAGACCTACAGAAGGAGAAAGGTACTTTATGCATGTCACAATAGAGTCCAATTTCGCCGATCGTCCACCGCAACTTGTCAACTATCGCGCATTGAAAGGTCGAAAGCAGAAACATAGGTCCCGATGATTTCCCACGCTCCGAGGTAATTCCATCTCGTCGATACATTAGCATCCAGTCAAGAACGAGT